AGCTCAGCCAGGACACCCGATGGGGGGTGCCTGGAGTGCCGTCTGCAGGGCCTTCTTGTTACATAGTGGGCACGCAGCATTTCTGAGGCCGAGCGCCATGTACGAAGGTTGCCGAGTACTCTGACCTGTCCTCGAGGAAACCTGGAAATGATGATTGGAGACTACAGTAGCTGAGACTCTGGTGCCACATCTTAAGAGGACTCGTCACAGCTCGGGGGGCAGTTCACCCGGGGCAACCAGCCAAGGAGCCCTGGTGTGGTTTGTAAGGGTCTCCTGAACGCTGGCGCTTGCGTGTGCGCACGCAGCCCTCACATCAAGTGCCTGTCCTCATGGCATAAGCTCTCTGTGGAGAGGGGTATTCTAGCTCTCAGAGAAAGGCCTTACTGTCTCCTCCTTCCTGTCTGCTTTCAGCTTTGAAAGAACCTGGAAAGTTTGATTTGGTTTATCACAACGAGAATGGAACTGAGGTGGTGGAGTATGCTGTGACGCAGGAGAAGAGGGTAGGCGACCTTCTCTTCTCAGGACTGCTCGGTCTCACCTGTGCTGCTACTCACCTGTGGTTCGGAAGGTGACGTGGCAACTTCCCGAACTGCCTGTGTTGACCCCATGAAGGGCTCGCTCTGCCTAGGAGCGGGCGAGCGACCCAGGGCTACACGCAGGCTCTGTCGCGGACCCTCCAGAGCCTCCGTGGCAAGATGCACCAATAGCAGACGCCTGTTTGAGAGTGTAAAGCTGCTTACATTCGACTTCCAGGAGGGTTTTTATAGACCTCCAGGAGAAAAGAGTCGTGTACTCCGAAAGCTTCTTGTTGAATTACACACTTAGGAAAGTGTACATATCATAAAAGTACAGCCTGAGCGATTTTCACAAATGAGTGTACCCACATATCTACCCAGATGGAGCGAGAGCCTTAACAGGCTCCCAGGAGCCCTTCACACCCTCTTCCTGTCACCACCACCTAGGCCTTGACTTACAAAAACATGATTTTGAAGAAAGACATAAAATAGCCATTCTGTCCTTGATCCTGGAGCCCTGGTGGCATAGTGGTTATGCAGTAGGCTGCTCACCGTGAGGTTAGCAGTTCGAAACCACTAGCCATCGCATGGGAGAAAGATGGGGTGTTCTACTCCCGTAAAGAGACTGGAAAACACAAGCTTTTCTTTCTTGGTATATTTTAATTTGTTCTTCGTCAGTGGATTGATGTTGCTGTTTTGTTGTACA